TCTCTCAGTCACAAAAGGACAAATACTGCATGGTGCCACTGTTGTAAAACAGGACTGACATTGGGGTTGGGGGGAGACAGAGAAAGATGGGCTCAATAATGTATACTGCATTGAAATAGATGAGGGAGAAAACTATTTAAAAGGGATATGTGATTAGGTATTTTTTGTCATGACAGGAGTCCAGAGTGAAGGCTGCATAGTGGAGTGGATGTGGGGCGAGGGATTGTAAAACAATGAAAGAGTTTTTCTTTTACTTTTCCAAGAGAGTAGTGTACTGGGGGAAGAGTTGGGAGGGGAAAAAAGTGCAACGATGAATGAATGGAAATTCAAAGTCTCTGTAAATTTTCATTGACATTAATAATGCTGTTGTGAAGTGCCATTGAGTCACTTGCGACTCATAGTGACCCTATGTACAACAGCCCTAAACCCTGCTCTGTCCTGTGCCAATTTCACTGTCTCTGACACCCCAACCCTGATTACCCCAGTCACTGAGTCAATCCACCTCATAGAGGGTCTTCCTCTCATGCCCTGTCCCTCTACCCTCCCAAGCATGATGTCCCTCTCCAAGGATCAGTCCCTCCTTACAACATGTCCAAAATATTGTCAGACGAAGCCCCAGAATCCTTGCCTCCAAGGAGCAGCCTGGTTTAACCCTCTCCAGGATGAATCTGTTTTCTTGGCAGTCCTTGGTACACTCAATACTCTTCTCCAGCACCACAGCTCAAAGGTATCAATCCTCCTTCTATCCTCCGTAGTCATTGTCCAGCTCTCTGGTGCATAACAAGTGATTGAAAAAAAAAAAGTAAAATTTTAAAAAAAAGGTGTCAGTTCAAATCTACTCATCAGGGCCTTGTGGAAAAAAGTCCTAGTGATCTGTTTTCCTACAGATAACAACCACCCACACTCTGCGGAGCTGCTGCGCTGAACCACAGGGTGTCACGAAGAACTGGAACTCAACAGGCTTGTTTACATGCTGTTGTGATTCGCTGTTGTCAAGGCGACCACAGCTCAGAAAGACCCTCTAGGACAAGAGACCTGAACCACATGCTGGTCTCCTCCAGCATTACAGCCTCGGTCATGTTCAAGTCCATGGGTGTCGTCACTGTGTCTGTCCTCCTTGTGGAGAGCCCTCCTCTCTCTCTCTTTGCCCCTCCACCCACCCGTCCCCGCATGTCTTTTATCAAAGACCGGCCCCTCCTTGCCAACATGCCCTAAGTCTGTGAGACGCGATTACACCGTCTCTGCCTCTAAGGGAGGCTCCGGCTGCACTTCTTCCAAGAAAAATCTGCTTGTTCTTGTGGCAGTTCCGTGAGACATCATCTGAGAGCTGGACAATGACTAACGGTCACAGGAGAACTGATGCCCTTGAGCTGTGGTGTTGGAGACGAATGCTGAACATCTCATGGATGGCCAAAAGAAAAACAGGTATGTCTTGGAGAAAGTGCAGCCAGAGTGCTCCTTGGAGGCGAAGATGAGGAAGCTTCATGTCATACTTTGGACACATTGCTAGGAGAGGCTATTCCTTGAAAAAGGACATTGTGCTTTGGAGAGTAGAGGGACGGTGAAGCAGAGGAAGACCCTCAAGCAGGTGGACTGACACAGCGACTGCAGCGATGGGCTCTTGTGTGTGTGTCAGAGATTGTGAGAGTGGCCCAGGATAGGACAAGGTTCAGATCTGTTGTTTATAGGGTCGCTGAGTCACACTCAACCCAACAGCACTTAACAACAACAGCAATTCAAAGGCATCAATTCTTTTGTCTTCTCTATTCATTGTCCAACTTTCCGATATATAGATAGCAATTGAAAATTATTTAAATATAGCTAGATATTGATATATTGTTCTTGTTGTTGTGCACCGTTGAGGCAAAACCGACCCAGTGTTGACCCTTCAGCAGTGTTTCAGAGGCAATTAATCGCACAGGAAGAGACTGCCCATCAGTCTCCCTCAGAGCAGCTGGTGAACTCGAACCATGGACCTTTGGGATTGCAGCGTAGCTTCTTGCCACTAAGCCAGCACAGCTCCCTAGATATTGATACTTATTTATGTAAAATGTATGTAAGGCAGCATAATACTTTTTTTGTGCTTTTCTTGTATTCTCTCAGGGCTGAAGAAAATATGCATGCAATGTATCACATAGCCTGTAGAGGGTGCTCACACAGTGTAATTTATAGGACTGGAAACTTGACAGCATCAATCTATCATGACACCACCCTGCTTGCTGAAACTGAGGAGGACCTGAAACACTTGCTGCAGAGGGTCAAGGACTGCAGCTTTCAGTATGGATTGAGGCTCAATGTCAAGAAGGCAAAGATTGTCACTACTGGACCAATTGGCAGCATCAGGATGGATGGTGAAGAGATTTTGTTCACAAATTTAGTTTGCTTGGCTCCACAGTCAACACTCTTGGCACCAGTAGCCAGGAAATTAAAAGATGTATTACCATGGGGAAGTCTGCTGTTAGGGACCTCTCCAGGGTACTGAAGAGCAATGGTGTCTCTCTGGAGACTAAGGTGTGTCTGAAACAGGCCATGGTCTTCACTATCACTTGCTATGCATCAGAGAGTTGGACAATGACTAAGGAGGATAGAAAGAGAATTGATGCCTTTGAGCTGTGGTTGCTGGAGAAGAATATTGAGGGTGCCATGGACTGCTAAGAAAACAAACAGATTCATCCTGGAGAAGGTTAAACCGGGTGGCTCCTTGGAGGCAAGGATTCTGAGGCTCCATCTAACATACTTTGGACATGTTGCAAGGAGAGACAAGTCCTTGTAGAGTGACATCATGCTTGATAGAGTGGAGGGACAGCGCAGGAGGGGAAGACCCTCTATGAGGTGGATTGATTCAGTGACTGGGATAATCGGGATGGGTATGTCAGGGGCAGTGTGATTGGCACAGGACAGAGCAGGGTTTAGGGCTGTTGTACATAGGGTCGCTATGAGTCGCAAACGACTCGATGGCACATAACAACAACATCATCAATGAGGCTTGAGCCACTGACCCAAAGGCTGCGGGGCTCAGGGGGCTGGTTTACACCAGTGCCCCGGGGTGGGGGGGGAGAAAGAAGAACAGTCCCCTCATGTTATAATTCACAGCCTCAGAAAGCTGGAGGAGGTTCTCTGGGTGAGAACTGACTCGACCCGGTGAGTCTGAGTTCCCACCTCTCCATCAATGTGTCATCCTACGATGCCTGTGTCTTGCTCTGATGCTGGAAACCAGGCCAACAGTGTTTCAAATATCAGCATCACTAAAAAAAATATGATCCCAAATTCGTGAATTATCATACAACATGGGTAGATCTAGAACAAAGGATGCTGCGTGACATAAGCCAGTCACAAAAGATGGTTATGGTGTAAGACCACTGATAGAGAACGCTCAAGAAAGGTGGAAGCCGTGTTGGAGGGCCACCAGCCTGGAAGGGAGGGAGTTGGGGCTGTGAGGTGCTGGCGAGTGGTCTGCAGCTCTCAGCGACCCTGTAAAGCGCAGATCTGACCCCTGCCCTGTCCTGAACTGTCACTGTCACCGTGGACATCACTTTCAAGCCCATTGTAGTAGTCATTGTGTCAATCATCTTGCTGAAGGTCTTCCTCCACGAGGTGGAGGGAGACAGGAGCAAGAAGACGTAGGTAAACTGAGTGAAAGGAATAGCAAAGCTGTTGTGGACTGTCGAGTCAGAACCACCCACAGCTGACCATCCAGCGGGTGTTGAGAGGCGGGTAATCACACAAGAGGAGATTGTCCTTCTTTCTCTCACAGAGCAGCTGGTGGATTTGAACCATGTAACTTTGGGTTGCTAGTACAACTCCTTACCATGAAGCCACTAGAGATCCTTATCTAATAAGGGGTTATTACACACGGGTGTTTGTTTGTTTTGTCACCTTGCACTGTGTTTATTTTAGGTAGGTATTTACAGTTCTTTGTCAATTGTGTTGCTATGTGCCATCGAGTAGCTTGCGACTCATAGCGACCCTATGTAAAAGAGCTCGAAACACTCTTCTATCCTATGCCAACCTAGCCATCTCAAACGCACTTATTCCCACCGCTCCAGTCACAGAATCGATCCATCTCATCTAGGGTCTTCCTCTCCTGCACCGCCCCTCCACTCATGATGTCCCTCTCCAAGGACCAGTCCCTCCTTGCAACATGAAAAATACAATGGACTGGCAGATGAAAACTTAAGGCTGTTCATTGTTTATGTCAACAAAAGGGGTGAACAGCCTCAACTACCACGGAGTGCCCCTCCTTTCCCTCCCCAAAGACCCTTACTAGACCCTCAACAAGATTAATTGTTCCGGTAATTGTGACTGCAACTATAACCTTGATCACGGTACAGATAACGATGGTGAAACAGGTCAGGGCAAGATTCCAACATATTGTTTACAGAGTGAATAGTGTATATTACACAATAACATTTTAAGGTAAAAAAAAAAAAAGACCCTTACTATAAAACTTGCCCTAAAAAAAACCCACACACAAACAAACAAACAAACAAAAACCCCTGCCCTAATCCACTTTATGATGTGGTATTTCCTGGTCTGTCCTTCTCTACCTGTTTCTTTCTCTGCAAACCAAGGAATCCCACCAGGGAGACCCCTTAATAAAGTTTCTTTAGCTTCCTTTTAAAAAAAGAAAGAAAAACACCGTTCTAGTTCCTTGACCCGCACAAACTTTCCTAAAGGCTCTCAGCACTCGTTGCACATGGAAATGACTCTATAACATCTACACAGAGCGGAGCTTAGTATCTGCACTTGGTAGAAGAGTCTTTGGGAGATATGAACAGTCCTCGGCCCTAGCGTGCCCCTCGGTGAGCTATCTCGATGACGTCCGTCATCTCCTGCTTGTCCTCCACGGCCCAGTTAATCTTTTTGTTACTGCCGGTGCCCAAGTCAATCATGATGTGCTTTGTTCCTGAAATAAAACATGATGGTGCAAGAATCATAGAACTCATACATCTTGTTGAAGGCAGATACTCCTGTAATATCCACAAGATAAATAACTGCAAACTCTTGAATCTTTTCAGCTACGCTGTAGAAAACCTCATTCCATTTCCATACGCGATTCCCAGTCACGTCCAAACATGTCTTAGTGTAAAATAACCACGCATGCAGGCCGGCCACAATAGCTATTGAATATTGAACTGATTCTGAAATCTTAAGGTCTAAATCAAATTCACAGGAGCCTCCATGCTGTCAAGGCTTGAATTTCACCCACCTCACAGGCAAAATGCTTTTATTACTCACATCAAGCATTCATATCTCCAAAAGTAACCTCTGAAAGCAAAACTTAGGGTCTGCTTCATTTACCTTCTATGCCCCATCCACCTGGACTGGTTGGCCTTGTCGGAAGC